ATTTAGAATAAAGAATATTTTTATGAAGAATTCAGAAAATTATCCAATAGATATTGCTGATCAAAAAATAGTTTAAATTTACTGAAAAATTTATTGGAAAATTTAAAAATATTTTAAAATTATTAAATATTTAAATATTAATATTTAAAAAATTATAATAAAATATAATTTTTAAAATTATTATTATAACAATATAATATGATCTATATAATATACAAAGAATATATATTAAAGTTTTATAATTCTACATAAATATAATGACATGAAAATTGGTTTTTTAATTAATACTTACACATTTAAGTAGAGCAATAATGTAAAGGGGTAATAGCTTTAAACTTGCTGGAGCAAGAAGTCCACCAGAGGCAGCTGATTGAGACAATTTATAGGCTGATAAAACATCTATGGCCACATTTATTAGAGCATCTCTTGCATCAGATATAGAGGATTGCTGAGATCTATCTACAGCTATAAATATATAACCAGACACGAATATAAACATTAAACATTAAAAACGATACAAAGAAAACAAATATAATTAATTATATGAATTTACGAAATTGAAGAAAGAAAATTTGAAGAAAAATTTACTAAAATATAAACTACATAATACATATAAAATAAGTAAGATTGCTGTTCAAATCAAAAATCAATCAAAAATTTTATGTCAATAAATATGTTTAAATTTATGATTGTTTAAATACTGAATCAAAATATCCTATATATTTTTTCCTAACTTTCCTTTCATTTTTAAATACTATGTGGAATTTTCATCCAGAATAGAAACAAAAAAAATATATTACGTAATCTTGTAAATATAATATTTTAATATATTAAATCTATCAAAAATAATTTAATCAATCAAATTTATATTTGATTTTTATATAGCAGTATTTTTTTTTTTATTTTAATAATAAATATTTCCGAATATATTGTATCTGATAAAAAAAAAAGATAAAATTAAAATAAAAAGAAAAAGAACAATAAAATTATTTTAACGAGAAAAAGAAAAATAAATATCTAAGAAAAATAAAGAAAAGAATAACAAAAAGGAACAAAAAATATAATTAGTTGGGATAGAAAATAAGAAACAATAAAATCAAAAAATGGAGATATTTTAATGAAAAAACATAAATAAGTTTCAAAAAAAAATCAAAATAAAAATATAAAAAATATAAGTATACATGACTGTATATAATGTATATATAATATGTAACAGAATAATTAAAAAAAAACATTAAATAAGGAAATCAAAAATTTATTGCTAAAATTGAACATGAAAAAATGGATGCAAAAAAGAGAAAGTAAATATATATTAAATAGATATCAAAAAAAGAAATCTTACCCATTTTAGAAAGTAGGCCTACTATGCATTGTTGATCAGCAGAATGAAGAACATCAGACAAAGTAGATACTACTGGTAGGCACAATGTGTGTACTCTAATTCTTCTTTCACCTATATATATATTTTTTTAAATTAAAATGATTAAAATTATTAAAATTAAAGTTAAAAAATTAAAAAATATGTATGTATATATAAATATATATTTTTTTATTTATTATATATATAATTATATTTTAATATTTAAAATGCTAATACACATTTTTAAAGATTAAACGAAATAATATAAATATTATGCATAATATTCTTTAAAAATATTTTTTATTTTTTAAATCCTTGTTATAATTATTAAAATATAAAATTATTCAAATAATGATACAAAGATATATTTACCTTTACTTGATGTATAAAGTAAAGCTGCCTGAAAACAAACATTTTGTACATCTGAAAGATTCTCTTCTATAGAGATTTGCATTCCAAAACCAGCATCTGGATTAACATTAGGCAAACTAAGAAGATCAGTGGATCGCACGAAGAAATTTCCGTGAAAAGTATGAATGCTCAATCCTCGTGTGCATCGTATTCTCATTACTGCTTCGAAACCAATTTTTCTAGTAAGATAACGCCTCAATATTCTATCGAGTGTCTCCACATGCTGTGGTTTCGAAGCGCGGAATAATGGAAGATGATATATGCAACCTCCAGAAAATTTACACATACCCGCTAAAATGCAATGTAATGTTATTTTATAATAATAAAATTATATTTAATATATTTAAATACATATTCATGTTTATGCATTAATGACAGCATTGATTTAAATAAATAAATTTAAATAAATTATTATATTTTTTGATAAAAATACCATACACATATACACACGCGCGCGCGCGAATGCATTTTAAGAAATAAAAACAACAATTTAGACTAATACGTACAAATAGTAGATAGATCACAATATTGACAGTTTAACAAAAATAAATCGACTGCAATTTGTTGTCCACTGCAATCTAGTGCTAATCTTTTGTAAAAATCTGTTACTGGATTTAAATGTGGTACATCTTTATTTGCTCTATTATTTGGATCTTCTCTTGCTTGCAATAAACCTGGTCCTAGATTTGGTAAGCAAGTTTGGAAGACGGTTACACGTCCACCAGTTGGTGACTAAAATAAAATATTTCATTTATTTTTTATATATTTTTTCTTTTTTTTTAACAATAAATTTATATTGTTTTCATTTGATTTATTTTTAATATTATTTTTAATATTATTTTAATATAATTTAATATAATATTATTTTTAATATTTATTGTAATGTTTTCTTTAAAATGTTATAACTCATATATCTGACCTATCTACAGATTTAACTTAGACTAACTAGTCTAAGAATCTAGAACAATGCTGTTTAGATTGTTTTCATCATAGATAGTAAATATAAGG